GACAAGACAATCAACACAATAACCGTGGATATCGATCATCTGCAAATATGGCCGATGTTTCACAGTTGAATACAGAAGAACAGTCACCTAATTCCATTCCAAATTTTTCTTCTGAGCAATTACGACAGATCGCACAAGCCTTATCTGCAATCAATAATCACCCTTCTGGTAATTCTGACAATCACATCAATGTTGCAGGTTTGTTNAAAGGTTACAAGTTGTATGACATGCAATCTCACACATTCTTTATCAGCCGTGATGTCAAATTTTGTGAAGATGATTTTCCTTTTTCATCAGCTTCACAAACTTCGACATTAGCTCCTTCGACTCCTGTTGTACCTCTTCCTTCACCTCCTACTCCTCCTTCACCTCCTATCCCTTCACCTACTACTCCGTCGTCTCCTCCACCTTCTCCAGATTCGCCCACTAATTCCAATCCTATCCCACCTGATACATCAGCTCCACTTCGACGTTCTACTCGTACTAAACAGCCTCCAGCTTGGCATAAGGATTATGAGATGTCTTCTGGAGCCAATCATTTAACCTCTAGCTCAAGTCCCGGCACTGGCACCAGGTATCCCCTTCATCATTACCTTTCATTCTCTCGTTTTTCTCCTACTCAACGTGCTTTTCTAGCTCTTATTACATCCCAGACAGAACCTAAAACCTATGACGAGGCAGTTGGCGACCCGTTATGGCAGCAGGCTATGAATGATGAAATTGCAGCTTTGGAACGTAATCATACATGGTCTCTCGTTCCTCTACCACTTGGTCATAAAGCTATTGGTTGTCGTTGGGTGTACAAAATTAAATACAACTCTGATGGTTCTGTTGAACGTTATAAAGCTCGACTAGTAGCAAAGGGGTACACTCAGGTTGAAGGTATTGATTACACAGAAACATTTTCCCCTACAGCGAAACTTACTACACTTCGTTGCTTACTCACTGTTGCTGCTGCTCGAAAATGGTTCACCCATCAGTTGGATGTTCAAAATGCCTTTCTCCATGGTAATCTAGACGAGGAAGTTTATATGTCTTTACCACCAGGTCTTCGCCGACAGGGGGAGAATACAGTATGTCGGCTCCATAAATCTCTTTATGGATTAAAACAAGCTTCTCGCAATTGGTTCTCCATATTTTCTACAACTATACAAAATGCAGGCTACACTCAGTCCAAAGCAGATTACTCTTTGTTTACTAAGAGTAAAGGTACTTCTTTCACTGCAGTTCTAATCTATGTTGATGATATTCTGTTGACAGGCAATGATCTCGAAGAAATTCAATATCTCAAGACTAGTTTACTCCAGAAATTTCTTATCAAAGATTTAGGAAATTTGAAATATTTTCTAGGCATTGAATTTTCTCGATCTAGAAAAGGAATTTTTATGTCTCAAAGGAAGTATGCTCTAGACATCCTTCAAGACACAGATCTTACAGGAGCACGTCCAGACAAATTTCCTATGGAGCAAAATCTGAAACTTTCTTTAACCGAAGGAGAAAAGTTGAATTGATTGGCAGATTAATATATTTGACCGTCACTAGGCCTGACATAGCTTATTCAGTTCGTATGCTTAGCCAATTTATGCATGAACCAAGAAAACCACATTGGGAGGCAGCTCTTCGAGTTCTGAGGTACATTAAAGGCACTCCTGGTCAAGGACTTCTACTGCCATCTGAAAACAATTTAAGATTACAGGCATATTGCGATTCTGACTGGGGTGGTTGTCGAACTTCCAGACGATCTATTTCTGGGTTCTGCATTTTCCTCGGAAATTCAATTATTTCTTGGAAGTCTAAAAAGCAGACTAATGTGTCCAGATCATCAGCAGAAGCCGAGTATCGAGCTATGGCAAATACTTGTTTAGAGTTAACTTGGTTAAGATACATTCTTCAAGACTTGAATGTTCCACTGTCCGAACCAGCATTATTATATTGTGATAATCAAGCAGCATTACATATAGCAGCCAATCCAGTTTTTCATGAACGTACGAAACACATTGAAATAGATTGTCATATAGTTCGAGAAAAATTACAAGCTGGAATCATCAAACCGTGTTATGTTTCGACCAAAATGCAATTGGCAGATGTTTTACTAAAGCTTTGGGAAGACAGCAATTTGACTTTTTGAAGGACAAGTTGGGTGTGATCGACATACACTCTCCAACTTGAGGGGGAGTATTAAGAGGATATTTTGCCGTGATAATTAGTTAGAATATATCTTAGATATTTAGGAAGTTGTTAGTATAGATTTGATTAACAGTATATTTTATTTATTTACCGGATTTAATTAGATATATATTTTTCTATTTTTAGGTATTAGTTGATAGTTTGTATCCTATTTAAACGTGGTAAACCTGAATGAAGATCATACTTTCGATCCCAATTCTATTTCTATTTCTCATTCTTAACGGATTGAGATCAACTCGAGAAGGTCAAAGTAAAACAACAGAGCATGGCCTTCAACGATGCCAGAGTAAAAGTAATCTAAACAGTTTTCCTCCTTGATTTTCTAACAACCATTTGTACGACCATGTTGATGTAACATCGTATACAGAAATGTTGCTTAAACTTCATATAAATGGTATGTTGTAACTTGCTTATAGAAAAATAAAATTTGACAGGGTTTCATTAATGTTCTTGTTTTAAAAGTACACAAAAGGAAAAGAACATAAAACTCTTTTAAAACATTTATCACAGTATGAAGGTTCTTCTTTGTTGCTACTACAAAAGGTAACAATACACAGGGTACAACTCAAATGATCTAAACAAGCTCATAACAAATATGGTGTGCAGAAACTATCAAGTTCGAAAGACTAGTTAAGTAAAAAAAAAAAAAAAAAAAAAAAACTAAAACTATATATAACATCCATATATAAATTTTACTTCAACTCCACAGTCCTACATGAGTCCTACATGATTTCCCATTTGTTCCATCTTGCACCAACCAAACCAAACTTATGTATGGGGGCTCAAGTTGGTAAACAACCAAGAATATAGCTAAGACAAATAATACTCTCTCGTGCTTTTGTTTAGGCAAAACCAACATAATCAAGAAATGTATTAGTTAATTATGATAAACAACTAAGAATGTAGTAGAGATACTGTAACAGAAAAATTGTAATAGAAAAATTCGTACCTGAATTAGGGATTTGGAGCAAAGTATGACCTAAAGATGATTTGTTCAATTGAACATATTCAAGTTCTGAAACAAACTCATTTCTGGTGGAATCTTTGCTTTAAAGCTGCTCCATGAGGGATTCAAGTATCTCAAGTGTCCGTAGAATCTCATTTCTGCTGAGATACCTTCTAATCGATTCCTTGACAGGTCCATCCTTGTGAGTTTCTCATATAGCTTGTTTGATCCTACTGGGACTAAACCAATCAGCCCGTTCTGAGACAAATTAATCTCCTCCAAACCCAGGTCATGAATGGCTGAATTGATTGCTCTGCAGCTTGAGCTGTTTCAGGTTATGGATAGCTTAAATCCCTTGTGGTAAATATCTAGATAGAACATTTTTGGAAGATCCAATGTCGTGAGCCTTGTCGAACACCAAAAATCCAAGGTACCAGAAAATTGATTGGCTGAAAGATTCAGAATGTTTAAATACAAACACCTTGTGGGCAATGTGTTGGGGACAAGGCCGAAGCATATTAGATGCAAGAGAAAGATAATGAAGCGAAAGTAATTAATAAACATTTCATCCAGAAGAGGCCCACAGAAGAGATTATCAGAAAAATCAAGAAATCTAAGTGGGTATCCGTCCAGATAAACCATTACGACTGGAATTAACCCTATGAAGACCGGGAGGTAGAACAAGCTCATGACTAAGATTGCCAGAAAGCGAGAGTACCTTGAGATGCTGCAATTTCTCAGACCCTCTTCCGGTTCTCTCTGCTAGCCCCAACCCATCGAGGGAAAGCTCGGAAACTCCATTGATGGGGTTGCATTTGACGAACTCCCAGGGACAGGGAGAATCATCTTTATTCCAAGACGGGTGAAAGGAAGAAGGGTCATGGGAGGCCTGATTTGAGAAGAAGAAGAGAAGATTGCTATCCTAACCTAAGGAAGATTTCAAATTATGAAGTTTCTTTTCTGTGTTCTTTTCCGTTTTTTTTAATAGCGTAATATATAAAGCAATCCTCAAAAGCTATTAAAAGGGCAAGGCCCTGTGTGGGAGCACTAAAATACGTGTTTGCTCTATAGAAGAGTGGAAGAGGTATGGGACCCACCAGATTAATCGCACAAAAACCAAGAAGAGACTCACCTCTCATTATCCTGTAAAATATTAATATTTTCGTTAATAACTATTTATAAATTTATTGTCTACGATACCTTCGCTCATAGATTTTTATGTGAAAATTTTGGATCCAATCATTTATGAATTACTAAGTAGACTGTATCAACAGTATCAGTAAGACAGTGCACTCAACTTTTTCCATATATTATAAACTCTTTTAAGTTATTTATTAAACAAGATCCTCCCATATATCAACCACGTGCCATTCAAAATTATACTAATAAATTAATTGAATTAAAATTTTAAATTTGTTATAGATCTATTAAATACAAGATTGAAAGTTTAAAGATATATTAGAAACTTTTAAAATTTCGAAAACTAGGTACATACAAAATTTAAAATTTAAGAATAAACTTGTAATTTTTAAGCGATTACACTCTTAAACGCTAAATTATGTTTACGCCCCAAAAGTCATTATTTGTTTAAATTAGGTAATGTTTATTTAATTGGATTAGATTACTATTTCTCCCACATCGGAAGAGTGTTAAGCGCTGCTTTTCTTTATGATAATACTTGAAGCGATAAGCCATCGCCGAGTTTGGTTGCGCGAGCTTGTGACCCATGTGGGGGCGATATTGTGATGGAATGGTGTACTTCTCCCGCTGTGCCGGATCCGATATTGACTTGTATGGCTCGCCCATTGCAAGCACAGAGTTGAGCCATGGGGCTAGCGGAGGGCAATGCGTGAGGCTGGTTTCAGCAGAGCAACGATCACCTCTTTTTTTTTTTTGTGTTATAAGAAAAAATCACTAACATGTTAATAGAACTAACTAAAGTTATGTGATTGCATGAGCGTATTATATTGAAGGAGAGGTCTAATTTTTCTCGTAATTATATTGAAGGAGAGGTCTAATTTTTCTCGTAATTATATTGAAGGAGAGGTCTAATTTTTCTCGTAATTACATTGAAGGAGAGGTCTAATTTTTCTCGTAATTATATTGAAGGAGAGGTCTAATTTTTCTCGTAATTACATTGAAGGAGAGGTCTAATTTTTCTCGTACTTAAGTGACGTGTCCATGTGCCCAAATAAGTTGATTAAACAATATTGAAATGATCCATTGAGAAATTTGAATAAGTGTGTGTAACAACTTTTTTTTGAATACTTGATTGAGAGGAAATGAGTATGAAATGGCATCAACATTTTGGCAGAAAGTAGAGAGGGTTTTCCCATATAAATCATTCCCCCGGATTATAGAAATAAGCCACAAATCGATAATACAATCCAAGAGGGAAAATAATTACACCTTTAGTGGTATGCATTGACTTATATAGCCATACCCTCTTGGATCGATGTGCCATACTATAGAAAGCTTCAATGGGACTGAGAGTGATTATAAATTCCATATGATTTGGTGCTGTAATGCCTCCAATAAGACACTCTCCATCCTGCATAGCATCGACCCAACCAATTCATTTTCTTACCTTTCTTCAACTCTTATAACTAAGATTTAACCATACCTCTTGGGTAAGAATCGTCTCTAGCATGATCGCGTAAGAGAATATGACTCGGGTACTCGTTACAGTCACATGAACTACGACAAAAGCAACAAACTTGTTAAAATCGAGGAGGGAGGAAGAAGGGGTCGATACCCTAATCAACAATGTTTAAGGTTTAGGGTAAACAAGTTTAAACGGAGAGGAAAGGGAAAATGGGTTAATACCGTAATAGAACATGTGATACTCGGTGATAATAATTTGAAGGGTTTAGAGTAAACGAGTTTAAATTGAGAAGAAATGAAGAAAGGGTTGATACCGCAATTGAACATCTGATACTTAGTGGGAATACAAGTCAAGAGAGAAGGAAGAAAGGGTTCATACCAGAATCGAAACGTGCATTACTTTGAGACAATGTTTAGGGTAAACTCGTTATAAATCAAGAAGGAAGGAAAGTGGGGTTGATACCGTAATCGAACATGTGATACTCAGTAACAATGTTTACGAACTCTTCTGATTCCAAGCTCACAAACGACGAGAAATCAAAGTCGCCGACCTCCAACGGGTCAAGCGAAGGAATCAATTCGAACTCAACGTCATTAGAAAGACCTAAAGAAAATAAAAGGCAATAACACCATAAGAAATGGAATGTAAAGGTAAATAAAGTGAAAGAAGTAAATAAGTAAGTAACCATTTGGGGCTTGAAATTTGAGTTCGGCGCTTTCAGGGTATGTGACAGTGAAAGTCAAAGAATTAAACCCAGATTCTTCCATGTCGATCATAAGAGGGAAAAGGTTCTTGACGAAAGTCCATGACTTCAGAAGTTCATTGCACACATATTCGTCGAAGAATTGAGGCCACAAATGGAGGGCTATCACGCCGCCGAGGGCAGGGTATGAGTCCGCCATTATGGCAAACATTTCCCGGCAGAATTTCATGTCCGCCATGTCGTCAGCGCTGGCCACCACCGACGCCGCGTCCACCAGGTCCTGCATTTGGTTAAGAACGAATTTGAATATTATTGGGGCCGCCATTGCTAAACTCGCTGGTTTTCTTGGTTTCTTGGGTTTTGGTTTCTTTCGAGTTTGAACAATTCTTTTGCCTTTTGCTCCTTATATACTAGTGCCCCACTTCAAGAATTGGATCATAATAATACCATTTTGTATTAGTTTGGAAATTTTACCTTTTTTTTTACTCATAAATTTTCGAAATATATTCATATAATGTCTATTATTGAGAAATTAAGTTCCAATCTTTTGGCTTAATCCCTTGGAGGCTATAGGTCTTTGTTTAAGTCAAAGATCAAGTAATGTACTTCAATTCACCACGATTTGTGAAGTTAACAAGTTTAAAAATTGGGATAAAGAAGATGGATGGATCCAACATTAGTAGATGCAGATTGAAAGTTATCTTACTAAAAAAATCTTCACGAACCCTTATACAAGTGAAGATGCTATCTAGTTGGCACTCTCTGAAAACATAGTGGAAGCTCAAGAATGGGTAGGCTTTAGGTTTGATCGAGTTTGATGCTATCTAGAAACATAGGGGAAGCTCGAGGATTAGCATACTCTGGTTGATCTAGTTGACATTATCCAAAAGCATAATGGAAGCTTGAGTATTGCTAAGCTATATGGTTGATCTAGTTGACACTTGTAGAAGCGCAGTGGAAGCTTAAGGATTGGTAGGCTCTATGGTTGACCTAGTTGATACTATCGGGAAGAGCATTGGAACCTAAAGGATTGAAGGGCTCTCGAGTTGATCTAGTTGACGTTGTTCAAAAGTGTAGTGGAAGCTCAAGAATTAGTAAGCTTTAAGGTTGATCTAGTTGACGCTTTTTAGAGATGGAGTGGAAGCTTAAGGATTGGTAGGCTCTAGGGTTGATCTAGTTGATGTTGCCTAGAAACGTAGTGGAAGCTCAAGAAAAGGTAGGCTCTAAGGTTGATCCAGTTGATGCTGTCTAGAAACCTAGTGGAAACTCAATGATCAGTAGACTCACGATTTATCCAGTGGACAGTTTAAGAAACGTGGTGTTCAATATTGTCAAGGAGAAGACAATGTTGGATCTGTTGAAGGCATTGTCAAATATGTATGGCAAACTATAAGACAAGATAGCCAGAAAAATTAAACCTGAGGGCTCAATGAAGACTTCAATTGTACGTCATGAATATCATATTTGAAAGAGCAGTTGTGAGTAAAAATCAGGATAGCTTTGGGGTCAAAGCCAGACTCCTTGAGTGGGAGAAGTCTTACCATCAATGAAGCAAGAAGATAGAAGTGCTTTGGGAGGAGTAAGCATGAGACTAGTAAGCTACACCGGTGGAAGTGCTCCAAATGGAGTGAGCATGAAAAAGACAAGTGACACTCGTAGAAGTGCTCCAAATAGTGAGCACACATGTATTCTTTAAGCCATCGCCTCAAACTTAGAGGGATGATTCCACAATAAAATGTTAAGACCAACATTTGCTAAAAAAAAAAAAAAAACACCCAAGCTGGATGTAAAAGGCATAGAAGAATGTAAGTTGTAGCAAGATTAAGAGGAGCTTCAGTGCAACAGTTGCCACATGAAGGTAGCTAAGTAAAGAGTTCGTTGAAGAGACTCTTTAAAAGCTTCTAGACTTTGCTTTAGTAAGGGATCTGGCCAAAAGAAGAAATATTTAGGTTAATCTATACGACTTAGAGAATATGTGTATTGAGGCCAAAATGGGCACCCTTGGGACATGCTCCTCCTAACTGAGGTGAGAATATGCTAATGCTAAATTTAACATGGTTTGTTTAGTGAGTCGGGCGAGTCCAAGAGAAGGACGAGGTAGGTCCCTAGTAGGATAGTTCACAGTCATTGGACAGTTTGACATACTTATTGATATGAACCAAGACATTTCCATAAATGATGAGAGTTATAACTCTTGTAATGCATAATAAGGTTAATGATTTTTATTTTGAGCCTATATAAAGCCATGTATATTGTCTCTGTAAAGTAGATTTGGAAAATATAGTAAAAATAGCATTTGTGTTATTTTTAGCCGAGGACTACGTTTCTTTGCAATTTTAAGTTGTTTAGATGGCATGTTTAGAATCATCAAGCTTGACATTATCAACCTTGCTGATGCAGCGATTCAAATCTCAAAGAAATTTTCTTGCCTTCAGATATTTGATCAACAACTTAATATGAATTTTACTTTCTCTTTTAGTGATTCCTTATCAATAGGGCTAGGATTTTTTTTTCGCTGTTCTATATAGTTTAGATTGTATACAATCATTCAAGCTTGACATGATCAAATTTACTTGTGGAGTGATTCGAATCTCAATCAAGTGTTATTGCCTTGAGATATTTGATCAACAAGGTAATTCAAATTTTACTTTCTCTTGCAGTGATTCCTTATCACTTTGCTGCAAGTCTCGAAGATCGACATATTGTCTGTCAGTGGGATAGTCCATAAGTGGTGCATAGCTTTCGCATTCATTTTGAGACATGTTTATTTCCAGCAAGTCAATTATCAGACATTTTGATGTTCGAGTCATCATTGAGACAATACCGAGATTAATGGAGAAAATGTCACAATCCACGATGCTATTCTATTGTGAACGATGACTAGTTTAAGTAGGAGAGAGTTTCATAACCAGACTATGAAGACAATAGGTTATGACTCCCACATGCAAACAAATAAGCAGTGACACAAAAGTAACTCCCAAACGATCAAGTGAGGGACGAGACAAGACAAGTGTCATATAGTTGGTGAAGAACCCAATCTATCATTTAAAGACAAAACATATCAAAAGATATATAATACCCTTTCACTCGCAGATCTCCGTGGATAAAGTTGATATGTTTTGAGAAGATAGAAGGTGCATCTAACGGAAATGTTAACAAAAATGTGTTGATGTTGAGCAAACCTTGGTTAAGTCTTTTGTAGCTTCCACAGATAATGCAGTGCGGTGAAGATATTGATGATGAGGAGAATCCTTTGAGAATGAATTTTTGGATTGAGTCTGATGTTTACTTATTAGTTAAATTTATCTGTAACTACTTGAATCATCTATAAATAAACCATAAAGCTATAAAGTGGTCTATTAAGTTCTTAAGGTCTTAATGGGAGACTTTGTTTTTAAGTTCAAATTGGTTTGATCTTTCTCAATTATCTTGATCGGAACAAGAGAACTAGGGTACTGAAACAATAACTCAAAACCAATTTACTTAGAGAATCAACGTGTTCATGTCAAATTTTTAGAAAGAAAACTCAATCTTGATGGCGGGTGAGGATGAAGGCACTTAAGAGTAGTGGCTACATGACACTGACGGTTCAGAATTATTAAGAGTAGTCCCATATCAAGCGAAAGATCATCGAAGTAATACTATCTCCATTCGATGATTCATTTTTCGAATTGATCAACGTTGAAACACGTGATTATAACAAATTCAAGAGTAGAACAATTAAAAAAAAAAAAAATGTCAAGAAATGGCATTTGATCATAGTTTTGTAAGGCTACACAAACTTTCCCATTTTATTCTTTCCAATCATCAGGAAAGTAGGTCACAAATCGAGCATGCAGTCCTAGAGGGGCAGATATTACACCTTTGGCAGCTTCATCGGACTTGAATAGCCATACCCTTTCAGTTTGACGAACCAAATTGCAGAAAGTATGCATTGGATGAACAGTGATTATATATTTAATAAAACACGATTCTTCGATACCTCCAATAACGCATCGTCCACTCTACATGCAATAAATTCTAAATTTTAATAACGACTTGTAAACCCATGATCATTTCCTAACAATCCTCAACAAATAATACCTCACGAGTAATAATAGTCTGAAACCTCGTGTACGAGAACTTGACTTGCGAGCTCGTGAGAGTAACAAGAACTGCCACAAACATCAAGAAACTCAAGAACATGTAAGCAACATAAAATGTGTATCTTTTGATTAAAGGGTATTACCATAACGATAAAATTCAAAGTCTGTGATTATGTTTATGAACTCTTTTGATTCCAAGGTGACAAAAGTTGAGTAGTCATATGGCCCGATATCTCTCGAACCATTGCTCGGATTTAACCCGAAATCGGCTTCCCGTAAACGGGATGGGCCCATGAATACGAGGTTGGCAAGATTCGGGGCTGTAAAAGAGAAGGACAAGGAAGAGAAGCCGGCTCGGTTCAGATCGGACATGAGAGGGAAGATTTTGTGGATGTTAATCCATGAATAATGAAGATGGTCGCAGGTATATGTTTGGAAGTATGGAGGGCAGAGTTGTATTGCTATGATGCAAGCAGTTTCTGGTGAGGCACTGCCCATTATGGACATGTTTTCCATTGAGAATTTGAGATAGGCTATGTCAGTAACGCTGGCGATTACGTACAGTGCTTCGGCTAGCTCATGGGTTTGGTCTAGTATGAAGAAGAACATGATTCTTGGGTTATTGGGTTCTTGGGGTTCTTGGATTTTGGTTTCTCTAAGTTTAAACAATTCTTTGGTGGGTTTGGCTACTTTTGGATTGGAGGCCGCTGGTTGTGATTTAAAGATTCATTTATTGGAAAAGGATTCAAAAAAATTTAGTATATTCATGTGACTATGTTGTTATTTGATGTACCGTGCTTATGTTAGGAATGGAAGGAGAAATCTATTGTAAGAATGAAATTGGCTATTATACAGCGTTACCTAATCAAATTCAACTTAAATAACTAAATCAAATCTAATCCTAATCCTTCCTCTCTTAAACTAAACACGAATAGTAATAAGTTTATGTTTATGTATGCTAACTCATAACAGACTCCCACTTTGAGGTAACTTCTTCAATTCCCATGTGCCATTTCTGTTTATTGTTCAAAATACATGGCTTGCCTCCATTTCTCACTTTTCAATGTGTCTTCAAATCATCTTCAAAGTTTACAGGTTCAGTAGTGGTAAATATGGCCGAGTGAGCTTCATCATCTTCTTTACAAAATACTTATCCTATTGCATAGTCTCTCATCCAGATCGGTGGTCTCTTATTCCTCGCCTTATTCGAGCT